CTAATTGGGTCACAACTTTGCAACATGTTGAATTCCGTTTTGAAACCGTCGCTGAAGTAGAATAAACATATGGAAACGTTGCAAAGCGTCGAGCAGAAACTCTGCACTTGCGTGAAGCACAGTTTCTGTTCTAAATTCAAAGCAAAAGAAGTTTGTGAATTCTACTGTCGCTGTCGCCTTCAATTGCGTGAACGATGACAGGGCCAAGAAAAAAAAGGCCCCACCGAGATTTGAACTCGGATCACTGGATTCAGAGTCCAGAGTGCTAACCATTACACCATGGGACCTCGCCAGATCCGCCTGCCGCATATCACCTTAATGCATTGCAGATTGCCTTATCGACTATCGCGTAAAGATATCGCCGCATCTGTTGTTGCCGATAATGGAAGTCTCTCCGTCTACACTTTCTCGTTAAAAAGCGAAGCTGTTGCCACAAATCTGTCGCGAACAGAATGACGGTTGAGGTCGGCGGACATGGTGAAAAAGAATTTAAGAAACGTGTTTCGTTTCGTCGTGTGGAAAGCAAACGGATCGTAAATTGTCGATGGCTGTCCGTGATCGGTGTCTAAATAATCGAATCACTAATTCGTTTCAAGCGTGTTTTTATCGGAAGCGGTCACGGCGCTCGCACCACAGAGGCACAATACTGACACTTGCATTGCACCAAATCGTGCAATGCAAGTGTCAGTTGGAGAACGTCGCGATTTCCACTACGAAAGACAGCGTGCGATCGAAAATACTTAACGAATTTCAGCCGAATCGTTGAACGACGCCCATCAAATTAGTTAACGCGAAGAAAGGTGAGGATGTTCCGCCCTGCGCGATATACGACGGAGGACGATAACTCTTTTGCGACACTCAAATCTCCGTTGCATGTGACGAACGAACCAAGAAATGTCCGTTGGCACGCTGTTTGGTTTATAAACGGGCTTTCGAGAAGCTGCTCACGCGGAGGTCTCATGGTGTAACGGTAAGCACTCTGGACTTTGAATCCAGCGATCCGAGTTCGAATCTCGGTGAGACCTTTTGTTTTTTTCTGTCGCCGAAGTTCGTGCCCTATGCAATTACGACGCCTTAGAACGTATAGAAAAGTCTGCCGCAGGATAGCATACAGTGCGTGTATGTCCAACCGTATTGCACTGAATGAAAAATGTTCATTGTGACATTTATTGTGTAATGGACTTACAATAGCCAAGTGGTTTTGACCAATACATATCTATTCTACCCGTTGTAGTCGCTGGCAGAATATTAAAAACATTTTATACTTTACCTTTTTCCATCTACAAATCAAATAAGTCTTTTGAAAGAATGGGTTGACGAATTTACAATTTAATGAAAAGTTGTACCTGGTGATTGGACATGGCGACAAGTGAAGACATTTTAAATCGCAGTAATTTTAATCTTGGAAAGTTATTAGATTTTAATGCTAACGATATTTCGTGATATTAATTAAAGTATGCGTGTTAAGCAGAAACACCAAAAACCAGTAAGTTTTGTTCGTGTTAAATATCGTAAGTTTTTGTGGACGAAATATTTAAATCATCCCCACACAGAAACGAAAAAAAAAAAACGATATTATTTCTTTATAAGCCATTTATTTTCAAAATTCTTAAAGTTGCAATTAAAAAACTAACGAGCAATTATTTATTGTGACACGGTCACAATGCCGGGCGGCAATTTTAAATCATATTTTTAATTTATTTAATTTCAAATATATGCCGTCCATCTCAAATTACTACTGTAGTGTCTCGTCCCGGTACATCATACTTTTCCTGTCAGCAATAGAGTCGCGCCTGTCATCTATTTTAACTCCTGAAATTTCAGGGGAAATGTTTTGAATTGAAATAAGGTGACTTCCGCTTTGCATCGAAAGTTCATATATAATTAATCGAAAGAGGAGGCCTCGATTAACTACATATGAACTTTCCGATGCAATCAACTCCTAACCTTTTCATATCTGATCTCGACTTTCATCTACCTAACTGCGTTGTCGAGATTAAGGAAGGCCAGACAGTGGGCATTTATAGATCTACAATGGGTTCAAATTGCAGCCCAACAACAATATATAAACAACAGTTCCAGAACATTCTACCATTGCTCAATTTAAGTCGAATCCTACTCAAATCGAAATAGTTTATGAACGCCTTCGAATATCCTAACTCTAAGAAAATGGATTACACCTCGTCTCTGTGGGCGTGAGTGAAAGACTACAGACAAAAAGCAGAATGGTCCGTCTCTATAGAAAGACAGACTCAAAAACCCCCGAAATCGAAATTCTGTCAAAATATCGAAATTTTTAGCATTAAACTGAGACGCAACGCAACAATAGAATTTCGACAATTGTCTGTTGCATTGTTCGAATGCGTTTGTTTCGAGTGTTTTCGGAGTTTTGCTGCAGTTTTTGCGATTATTTTAAGTAAGTTTAGTCCCTGATCGTTCTAGATTTAGGTATTTTTTAACATTGCTAGGTACTAAATCACAATTAGCAGCGATAATTTTGCCACAACGAATATTCCATTACAACTTTATATTCATTTTTGTTTAGAATTTTTCTTATACTTAAAACGATCATTTTCTAAAACTTTCTGTCGTATTTACATTATGATTTTTTAATATTCTCTTAATTTAACGTTCGTTCTACAATATTTAATACTCGGTTTTTATTGTTTGCAGGATGGATAATTTTAAAGCGCTAAAGAATTGGAACAACTGTGGAGGAGAGAGTGCGGAGGAAAGTTCCTCGACATCAGGATCGTCGTCCTCTTCGATTCGAGTGATTCGCGTGCGTCCGAAAGAAGTGCTGGAGGGTGCGAAGGAACCCGACAAGAAACGGGTGATTGTCACCATTCCCGATGAGAGCACCTCGTCTGTCATCGACTACCTGGAACAGCGATATCCAGAAGTTCATTTATCTAACCATATTATAGACTTTATAAAATTTACTTTTAAAAATAACTATTTCGCAATTTCCACAGATTACTGGTTAATTTAAAGTTTATTCATAACTATAAGTTGTTACAAATCAGCAACATGCAGAGCATCAAGAAACCTTGTACATTGTATTATTTGACGTACCCATTAATTAAATAATAAATAAGAAGACATAGCCATAATACCCAAGAATATTTACAGTAGTCACATACATACAATTATATACATAGTGGGTATTATGAAAGAAAGGTATACAGAACAGGCGCAAATAAAAAAAAAATCAAAATTAAAAAGTTAAATAATATTTCTATACGGAGTATAGATTTTATGTGAGTTATAAATAAATTATTTAAATTATTAATATTTTGACTTTTACATTTTACAAACATTGCTATTTATAATTACAGAAAATTTATATAAAATTGTACAATTACGAAATATTATAAAATAGAGTTGATACAAAGTTTACATAATTATACAGAAATAATTTTATAAGTATAACAGTTACAATAAAATTTTTACATACAAATGTGTAGGTGATTAAAATTACAATCGAAGCAGAAGTATTTTTATTGCCACTGATCATTAAATACAAATTTATTATTAACATTTTTCCATATAATATTTTCAGTGCCAAAGTATAGAGCGTTGTGTTCCCTGTCAGTAAAGTTCTTATAGTTAGCTTTTAGTTTGAAGTTTGCCTCATCACGTATTTTATTTATTACAAAAGTTGCGTTTGATTTTTTATTTTCAAAAATAAGGGCGCATCTCGCTTTCCAGATGACCCTCATGGTCAAAGCAGTAACCCAATTAATTAAGTAATTATTTTGGTTTTTAACAGGGAAATTGGAATGGAATTTTACGTTTTGCTAGCAGATACATATATTATAAATTTTGTCTACCAGTGCCAAGTTTGCTCAGCGATGTGGCACTCAAAAAATACGTGATAGATACTTTCATTGTGGTCACACCGAGGACAACGAGCAGTAATTACACGCTGGTAGGTGTGAAGATGTTCATCACGATGTTGTTCAAAATTTTTCACGCGAGTTCTCTCCAGTCAGCAGGGAGCCTTCCAACATTTACCCAGGTCTCATTCCAATTGATCGTAGTATCCATTAGATTTTTGTTGATACTTTGCTTATGAATGTTCGTGTAGACTGTACTGGGCCTTAATTTATTACCGATTTGGTCATTATTAATTATGGTAGTAACAATTTCTCTCCATATTTTATATTTACTACAGTTGTTGATAAGGAAGGGGAAATTATCATTTTTAGTAACACGTTTAACAATAGGACCTAATATATAATGGGCAATGAGAGCAAGAGCATGGTTCTGATTTTTTATAGCATTAACCATATTAGCCAGTTGGAGGGAGTATTCCAGACTCTTAATGTCCCACACTTTCCATCCTCCCTGATTGAAATTATTTCTTATTATAATCTTTTTAAGTGGCTCAAAATCACTCTTCCAAATATATCTAAAAATGATTTTATCGAGATGTTTGATATCTTATTTTTCTTAAATCAGTGATATAAAGGTTAAACATTACTCTGCCAATTAAGAATTTATTTACAATAGTGACACGGTCAGGTAGGTAAAACCAAACGGTTTCCCAGTTGGAAATCGCGTTTTTAATTTTATGAGACATGCTCTTAAAATTGTTTTGATTGCTATCTTTACCATACCATACACCTAAAATTTTGATACTGTTGACAGTACTGATGTTCATGATATCACATGTAATGTTGCCGTTAATATTAAACAATTTACTTTTATATTTTATTGTTAATTGTCTACTTGGACTTTACTTATTAATAGGACTTTATACTGGTGTCCAAAGATCGGCACAGTACTAAGAGTTAGTTCAGGAAATAACAAAATGTCTTTATTATATCACCTATAGTAATAATTTCTGTTTCTGTTTCTGTAAACAGAAATTATTACTACAGGTGATATAATAAAGAAATTTTGTTATTTCATGAACTAACTCTCAGTACTGTGCCGATCTTTGGACACCAGTATAAAGTCTTATTAATAAGTAAAATCCAAGTAGACAATCAACAATAAAATATTAAAATTTAAGGACGGTTAGGCTTTTACAATTTACTTTTATTTTCATTGATTCTCATACCAGTTAAACTGCTGAACAATTTTATTTTTTCAATGGTGTTGTTGAGGGCCACATCAGTGCAAACAGATTACATAAAAACTTAAAGTTTACAAGTGAAGATAAACAACAAAATGAAATTAATTTCTTAGATGTCACCATAAAAAAAGAGAAGAAACAAGTGTATCATTTAGTAAGTATGAAAAACTATGTAATAATGGTAAAACTATTAACTTTAAATCTTACTGTCCTTTAGAAAATAAAAGAATGTCTTTATTATGGAATTGAGAAAAATATTAAATCGAACAACTCAGCAAGAAAATATAAACATCGAAGTAAAACAATTGTTTAAAAAATTTCAGTTAAATGATTATCCGAAGTATATTCTCTGTAAGTGGTACAATTTATATTTAAAACGTAGATTTAATGTTAAAAACAACATAGAAGATATTTCTTATGTAAAGTTTCCTTATGTTACTAATGTTTTTGAAAAATATAAACCGATATTTAAAGAATTTTCTATATGCATAGTTGCGAATCAAAAGAATAAGATGTCAAACATTATCAACATAATAAATAGTGAAAATTCGCCCAGAGACCAATTTAAGATCGCCGGTGTCGTATATAGAATGTCATGTACATGTGGAAGCCCAAATTATTACATTGGAGAAACCGGAAGAAGATTGGAGTTGAGAGTAAAGGAACATGAGGCGGCCATTAGACTGAGAAGAATGGAATCAGCATGGTTTTTACATTGTAGAGAATTTAATTGTAATATAAATATAAAAAATACTAAAATATTGTATAGAATAGAAAATAATTTAGAAAGAAAAATTGTAGAACATTTTTGTATCGCCGAACATGTAAATTTGCTTAATTTGAATGCTGGAATGATTGTTGATGCATGATGGGAACGGCTGTTGGGTATAAAACGTAACCAGCGAATAACATCTTGATGTATCCGCTGAGTAGGCCTAGATGGCGAAATGCATTTATGGATAAAATTAATAAAGTGATGATTGTTCCTTGCCATTTGTTTGTCTTGTTTTTGCTCATAGAATCCTCGAAGTCGGAAATAGAAAGAGAATAATTTTTACTTGTTTTAACTAAAAATTTTTATTTTTAGTGTGTTAATGAAAGAAGAGTTTCGAAAGACAATCTTATAAAAGTTATTTAAGTAAAACAAGCAATGAATTATTGTGACATCATCACAATGCGGGGCTGCAATTTTTAATCTTATTTTAAAAAATTATTTAATTAAAAATATATGCTTTTACCTGAAGCGACGGGGGAAAATATAATATACATTTAATTATCAATCTCGAATTCTTACTTAAACACATCACAGTAACATCACAATACGTTCTTCGAAACGTTTAGTAGAAACTTCTCTGTTTTAAAAGAAAAATAAAAAAAATGATGCAAAAAATTTAAAAAATTAAATAAAAAAATACACCGACACATAAAAGTGCCGAGAAAAATTCGTATAATTTTAACTAGTTACCTCTTATCAACAGGTGATGACAAGAATAAAGCTCTAAACCATTTTCCGATATCAGGACGGCAAGTTGCTCTCATTCGTCACTGGATTGCTGATAATTATCGGATTAGAATGTAGTAGGAGGACGTTTTCTTACATGAGTCCGCCGATAGAGTGATCGTTCTTTGAGTTAGGATAAGTTATCTAATAATAAATGTTTAATAAACTAAAGTAAGGGATACGTAGAAGCTACTAAATCTACATACAACTACAATTATCTGCTTGATGGGATAATACATATCTATATATACCGTACTTTATATGTACTTGGACCGAGAGAGTGTACAATTCTAATTACAGTTTTAAGTACAATAACTCAATGTTTTTGGATCATGTTCATGCCATGATTGCGAAGACGTTTTATGACTGCTCTTTCTTATAACAATAATTATGTAGTAGATTTTGCCAAATGACATCTACCTCCATTCTTTTATTTAAATTAATCGAATTTAACTGTTATAATAATTCAGTTTCTAAAACAGTTTTTTATATAGAATTTTTTCAATCGTAACATTCTTTTTACTTATCGTACAACCGTGTCCGCGCAACACAAAAACTAAGAGTACTGTCTATAATCTAATCTAATTGATGTCACGTGTTCCTCCGATCTCGTATGTAACTTTCTCCTCGTTTCACCAATAAAATTATCGTTTTCCTTACCTGTACTACTTAGTTTATACACTATACACTTCCCAACGTCTCAAACTAACTTTGTATGCAGTGAAGACTTGTATTTTTTTATTAACTTTTGCATTTTCTGTATTACGTTAACGGTATAATTTTTTTCAATTCTGTTCTCTGTATATATTGACAATTCAAGTTAATTACATCCCGAAAAATTGAACGGAGAGTACACTATATCAGACAAGGCATACCAGTAATGTTGCTAAGCAAAACTGCAGAACAACTCTATGATCCTGCAGTGAAACCAAGACCGTTGGGTGTTGCTGAGTACTTAACAAAATCTGCCAAGATGTGTAATACATGCAATTGTTTGATGCAATTGTCTCATTGTCATAAAAACAACAATATTCAAATCATGCAATAACCAAAAAGATTAATTTGAAATTAACATCTATTCGTTCATATTATTTTTAACTGTTTCACTTTATTTCCTGGTAGAAGCTATTTTACACTAGGAAATAAAATGAAACATATAAATGCATATGAAGCTAATTGTTCTGTTTTATTTTATATTATACGTTAATTAAAGTATTTATTAAAGGGGTCATTTACTGACCCTCATGGTCGTCAGTGTTTCAAATTTTGTCGAAAGGTTATGACAGATTTGATTTATTCATACCCGCCATCGATAAACATCGAAAGGAATGTCTTAAGGAAGGTGTTTTTCTGCAGAAAATTAGTCTTTATTTGGGTGCGAGACAAGTGAAGAAAATCCGAAATCTTCCACGTCGGTAACCACGTGCTCGATGGTTTAATCCACTCGGACACTGAAGCGCTTATTTTATATATAACAGAGCCACTTGTCAAGATTATAATAAATACAAAGGCGTTAGTGTTTCGTCCGGAAAAATAAAAGTTTTTCGCTGTAAAGACACGTATTCTTTTGAACCATTTTCATATTCCTTCTGTCATATATAACGGAACAAAAAAAAATAATGATGGGTAAAGACCGAGCAATTCCCGAAATTTTGCATACATTTTTTGGAGTCGGGACACCGTTAATCGTCGAGAAATGGGAAAACTTTGGGTTTGTTTTGTACGTGTAAAAGAGCAGAAATTGGTTCACTTTCATGGAAACGATTCCTGTGCGTTTATAGAAAATGTCTATAGTTTTGCAGAGAAGTTTGGGTACTGCGAGATTGATGCTATTTAATTTTATTAGTTAAAGGTTGATGGTGTAAGGTGATAGAAATGTCTCGAAAGGGTCGGGCCTAACAAAGATTTTCATCGTTATTCTTATCATATAAAACTCATTTATACCCAGAAAATAGAGTTTTTCGACATTTTATAATAAATTGTTTTGTATCTTTTATGTAAAAGATTTTCAATAAAATTCGATAAGAGATTGTAAATGTTAACGAGAAAGTTAAGAAACTCCTTACTAGATTTTAAATTTTTTTTCATACACAATTACGTGTTTGACAACATTTCATATAAATTGATAAAACAACATTAATTTTAATGCCATTTTTCAACAATGTTGTCGATGTAACAATTTCCAATTGTTTCAATTGTTGAAGCGAATGAAGCGTTCTTTCGAAAAAATTCGTTTGCGATTTTCTAGTGAGAAAATGAAAAGAGAAAGGTAAATTTAATCAAAAGTAATGTTTACGAATGACATTTCTTTGATATTGATTTAAAATTTCATCTCAGAATTATTGGATTAATAATGTAAGTTATTCAATTTCATTAATGACTTAAAAATTAATTTTTTGATTAAAAGTCATTTAATAGGTCTTTACTCGAATTTGTAATATGAATTAAGAGTAACAAATATTATTACTTTGACTTTCCGTAGAAATACAATGATTTGCCCGTCAATGATTTTTTCTCCGCTTACAAAGGAGATTCACGATTCGAGGTGAGCAAGCCTAAGAAAATTGGAGGATTTAAGCAGTTTTTCAAAAGTATATTTTGTAAACTGTTGCGCTGTTGTTGCGTAAAAGGAGAAACTTCCGATTCACCGGTAACACTCGAGTTTCTTTGCTTTTCCCTGTTTTCAATTAACGAACTTTGCAATTAAATATTTTATAATTGTAGAAGTGCGAATCGGAGGGTTTTCAAATTGGACTTGAACGTCTAATCAATACAAAAGACAAGTACAAATTCCAAGAAATTGGTGAAGGATCTTTTGGCACAGTCTATGTGGGTCGGTCTAAAAGTTCCGACAAAACAATCGCTGTCAAAGCCATCAAGAAACGACGGTATTTTGTTAATCAGGTATGTATTGAGCATTGTTTTCCATATTCTTTTTATGTATGGTGCTAAAAACGATAAAATGTCTGTAAAGGAGTTGGTAGAATCCAACAATGTATTACAGTACTTTATTTCATATTTGGCACATGAAGTATGTACTGTACAATTGACTGAAGAAACACAGTTCATTTATATAATAATGTTGTTAATACTTTTCAAAAATATTCTATAAACAATTAACAGATAATATATTAATGTCATATTTTGCATATATTAATTATTTATTTCAGCAATTCAATATTGACAAAGAAGGAGTTGCTTGGCGCCGAGTATCCAGTCATCCTCACATTGTCGGTTTTATTGGCTTATTCGAAACTGATATTAGGTAAGCTTTACGTTTTTTAATATTACTGATTTGTAATATCTTACGTGTTTCGGGTAATAAACTATTCGTGTTTTTCAGTCACTGTTTCGTCTGTGATTATGTGAATGGAGAGAATTTGACCGACTTCTTGGAAATAAATGGAATATTATCGGAAACCCAAGCTAAGACGATCGGTGCACAGCTTGCTTCGGCTATTATTTATATTCACAATAAAGGTGCTTTATCTAAATATATTTATACATATAAATTTTCTTACGTATACACAGTGTGATAAATTATTTTACTCTCTCCGATAGAAATTATTCACAGAGATATAAGCTCGAACAACATCTTAATAGATAAGAAAAATGAAGCACATTTGATTGACTTTGGTCTGTGCACAGTAAGTACTGTACTATACGCCTCTTACTGTTCTTCAATTGTACTTTTCTTATAATTTAATGTTTTTCAGTTCGAACGCCGTCCAACAGACTTCTGCGGCACTCTGTTCTATTTATGCCCAGAAATTCTTCAACGGAAGGAATACGGTAAGAAATGTTATTTACATTTAATGGATTTTTTATTTCTTTCTTTTATTGGTAAAATCAATGTATGGTTTACAGACGCTTACTGCGATTGGTGGGCGTTTGGAGTTGTATTATATCAGATTTTGGTTGGCAAAACTCCAATGGACGTTTATCTGGAAGAAATTATGACCATTGAAGATTTCCAGTCGTTGCCGATAACCGAAAAATTGCAAAGTAAGTAACAATTCAAAAGTGGTTAAGAAATAAAGAAAGCGATGATTAATTAATATAAAAATGTCATTGCAGTTGCTGAAGAAGTGGAGTTGACGTATCCTTTTGAACTACCGCAGGATGCCAAAGAAATAATCCAGGATTTGTTACAGAAAGTAAGTTTATAATGCATTTTATGTAATTAATTTTCTGATTTTTCTACTATACATTTCACGAGAGAAAAATTTTTTTGAATATTTTTTTTAATATGTTGTGTAGTTTATTTTGATACATTACACGTTTTATATTATCTTAAACCATACAACTTAAACCATACAACTTAAGCCTACAAGCGCAAGCGGTCGCGCTTGTAGGCTTCCGGATTCGGAATGGAAGCAGAAGGAGACTACCGA